AGTGGAACTGCTCCATCGGGTTTCCAAGGTTGTAATCTTTTTGGAAGCAGATTGCCACATCTTTCTCCCATGGAGCATCTGGTGGGTTTGAACTGCTGACCTTTAACTCAGAAGCTGAGCCTTTAACCACTGTGCTACCAGGGCACAGTCCACTTGTTTATTCTAGATATTTCACAGAAGGCTGATCCTCCAATACTTGTCCTTTTGTGACTGACTTACGCATCTTTCATTGTTACCGTGAATGCCTACAGGGTCACTATGAGTTGGAATCTACTTGATGGCAATAGGTTGGGTTTGGTTTATGTTGATGAGGGTTCATTTGGGGAGCTTGGTTAGAGTTGTAACTCTATTGAAAGAATCTGCCATTCTCAAATTTCCTTTCTGATTTGCCTGGTTTAAAAAGTATTCATTTGAAATCCCTTTGGGTAGTTGGTTTACCTTCCAGTTCTGAAATCATAGACTCATGCTTGTTTTTCAGCTTGGTGAGGTTCTTGGCTTTTTCTTCCTCTTCTGCGAGATTTGTGGTTAAGTCACTAACCCTCTCTTCAAGGAGTTTTCGCTCCTTTTTGAGAGGGGAAGAAAAAAGAAAAATCGTCAGCTATTTCTTTTTGCCAGGATGTTTAACTTCTAGTAATTTCCAGGTAAACCACATTCTTACCAAACACAACTACAATTTTTAAAGGTAAAGAGAAGTTCCTTCATAATGACAATTTCAAGTAAAACGGGCCACTTCTTGTCTCATGCCACTCTGCTCCTCCCACTCCATGTCCTAGTCAATCAGACCCTCTCTCAGTTCCTTCCAAGTGCTAGCTCTTCCCTGCAGCAGGCCTTGGACACACTGGGGCCTGTGACACTCTTCCACACTCCCTTCTCCTAACTGCTCCCCTCTCAACTTTCCACTTAAATGTCACTTCTTCCAGAAAGCCTTCCCTGAATACCCCAACTCTACCCTTAGTTCTCTTCACTTTTATACAGCAAAATCTGTGAAAGCCAAAACTAGTGTAAGGTAGAAACCTGTCAGAAAAGGAAAACTAAAATATTTTCCACTAATAGAGATGGATAGAAAAGTAGTAACAGTGTACCCTATCAAAGGTAGAAAACTTGCAAGACCTGGAAAAACAAGGCAGTTCCATCAAGTTCTGGCTCTCAGTGGTTTCACTGTAATATGGTGAATACGTGCTTCAGAATTCTGATGATAATAGTGATTATCTGCATGGTTATCTGCTTGCTGTCTCAGAGATACACGTCCCACATATATCACCAGGCATCTCCCGTACCTAACACAGGGCCTGGCTCACTATAAGGACCCAACTGACATTCGGCTCAAAGGACAAAAAGGAGCCTGCCCCCAGTGGGGCCAGTTAGTGGTTACTGACTAGTGTGACCAACTCATCTCGGTCTGCTCCAGACTTCATATCTTTAGCACTGAAAGTCCCACGCCCCAGAAATCCTTTTGTCCCAGGCAAAGCAGGATAATGGTTAAAAAATATGGGAGAGGCCTCTGACTGTCAGGTATATTTCCCTTCCATGTACCACTTGGGGCCTAGTCTATGGCTATGGTGTTTGCGAAAATTGTTCCTTGGCAGCTCTTGTGCTGATGGGACTACCCATTCTAATGCTCAGTGGCATCAAGAAAGATGTCCCAAGGCCATCTTGTCACTGCCAGGAGGCAACCCTTTGCTCAGCCTTCAATACGTTGGGTTTTGAGTCTTTGGGTTTCAGAGCCCAAGTGAGCCTGTCGATTTTGATGCAGAAACACAGACTCACTCACTTTTGACAGCTTATTGTTCTGGTCATCCATGACCAGGATGTCATCCTCCAGTTTCTTGATCTTGGCCTCAGCTGTGACCTTCTCAAGTTGTAGCTTCTGCCTCGCAGCTTCTTCCTCCTCCAGCTGTTCTTCCAGGTCCTTTGAGAGGGAGGAAAAAGCATCACAACCTTGCTTAAAACAAATTCACTTTCAAGGAAATCTGGGAAGTAACTGATACAGAGGCTGAGCCTTATCACCCCCAGTAAACTGCAGTCTCCATCTTCTGGAAAGAAAAGATGAGGGCAAGCCACCTTGCTTCACGGAGCTGCAGTCTCCTCATGGGTATAGTAGTTACCTACCGCGTTGCTGGGAGGCAGGACTAACTCAATGGCAGTGGGCTTGGTTTCAGTTTGGTTTTAGATACCATGTTGTTGGGTTGGTTGTTTTGTTTTGTCTTTTTATTTTATTGTTGGTAAAAACACAACAAAACCTACTCCACTGCAATTTATCGACATAATGATCAGTGACATTGGTTACATTCTTCACATTGTCATTGTTTCTGTTCTGGTTGTTTTGCTTCCATTTATTTACTCAATTGCCCTGACACCTAACTTTTACCAGTGGTTTTACAATAAGCTCAGAAATACTCTGATACTCCTCCCTTCAAGAGGCAGGGCCTAATCACCTCCCTCCTTGAGTGTGAGCTGAACTTAGTGACTTGTTTCTAATGAATAAAGAGGAAGTGACAGTGTGATTTACAGGATAAGGTAAAAAAAAGGC